TTGGAGGTTCTAATAACATTTCTCACCTATACTGCAGCATTGCGCTTTCGTTCCTCATTTCTGAGCTTCTTCATGACCTCGGCCGCAAAGTTACACGTCTTGTCCCAGGCTGCCTTTGATGACAGCATTGCGTCCACCAGGCTCTCAGGTTTGACCTCTCTTCCCAGGTCGGACTCCCACGTACTTCGGATCTCATTGAGGCGGAGGCATGTAAAGAATACATGCTCTACATCTTCGGCGACTCCTGTGTAAATTGGGCACTCCGGGGAATCTTCATGTTTGTATTTGTGAAGATACGCCCGGAAACACCCGTGTCCTGAAACATTTGTATCAGGTAATAATTGACCTCTCCGTTTTTTCGACTTACCCAGACGGCCAACTGTGGGATCAGGCGATGAGTCCATCTGCCCTTGGTAGAGGCGTCCCACTTTCGCTGCCATCGTTGTAAGCTTCTACGCCTCTCGTCTGCACTGAGCTCTATTGCGCTTTGTGTTTCCGACTTCTTGCGTCGATACAGAGACTTTCACTCTTCGGCCAATACCTCAATAGTTAACATACCGGAAATGACGCATACTACATCCTCGCACACCATGCGGTATGCACTCGCTATTCGCAGAGCATTCAGTCGATACACTGATGCTACCTTTCGCCGTGATTCTGCCATGTGCAGCGCATCAGCCCAGATGGAAATGCAATAGGTGAGCACTGACGTGACGACCGATGAAAGCAGCGCTCGTCTTTTCTGCTTAGGACCACCGATATTAGGCATGAGGCGCGTTACACTAGATCCGACTGCAGACGCCTTGGCACCCAGGTGCTCGGTTTGCTGCTTAAAATTGAGTCGAGCATCGATCATCACCCCCAGGTATCGTATGTACGGCTGGGAGGTAATTTCGCAGGACCCGACCTGCAGCGATATCGTCTCTATTTCCTTTCTGCTGGTGATCAACACCGCCTCTGTCTTGTGTTCCGCCAGCTTCAGGCCCACTGTGTCCATCCAACAGCGGATCGTTTCAAAGGTTATGTCGAAAGTGTAATTGATCTGCTCCATGAATTTGCCCACAATGACTACAGCCACGTCGTCTGCAAATGCCACGAGTTTAGTTTCCCGCGACAATCCCAGTTTCAGCAGCCCGTCATACATGATATTCCACAATAGGGGACCTAATACTGAGCCTTGAGGTACTCCTCCGGTTACTTTATACCTCAGGACCACTCTCCGTATTGTACTTGAGGACTCTTCCAGTGAAGTCGCTGTCTACCATTCTCCGCAAGTATCCCGGTACATTGAAATTCTCAAGAGCCTCCATGATACGGTCCCACCTGGCCGGGTTGAAAGCATTCTTGATGTCTAGTGTCGCTACTAGGCCATACTTCTTCGTGCCATTTAGCCATCTCTTTCCTGAGATCGCGTTCTTGGCGATGTCGACGACCAGGCTGATCGCATCCAGAGTTGACCGGCCTTTCCGGAACCCATATTGGTTGTCCGCCAACAAGGGTTCGACTGCTGTTTCTATACGTTGGTGGACAATACGCTCGAGGATCTTACCAGCGGTATCGAGCATGCAGAGCGGACGGTATGATGACGGATCGTCCGGTGATTTTTTCCCTTTCGGGAGTAGTACAAGTCTCTGCTGCTTCCACATGGCAGGGAAGGAGCCCTCCCTTAGGCACTCGTTGTATACGTCCAAAAACATCTCCGGCATTGCGTGGATAGCTGTCTTCAAGGCGATGTTGGGGATTCCATCCCGACCAGGGGCCTTGGTGTAACCCACCCTATTGCAGGCTTCCATCAGTTCTTGCTTGGTGATTGGTGGAATAATCATCTCTTTCCATTTTTCGTCTGTGCGATGAAGTTCTGGCTGTTGCGGGAACAACACCGTGACGATTTTTTTCAACAGCACAGGACACGTTGGTGACAGCATTGGCTGACTATTTAGTCTCGACATCACCACCTTGTATGGTCTACCCCACGTATCGCTTTCCACCTCAGCAAGGAGTTCCCTCCAAGATTGCTTTTTACTGCGCTTGATGGCCTTGCTGAGGTTTCGGCGTGCTTCCGTATATCNTGTTGGTGACGGAATTGGCTGACTATTTAGTCTCGACATCACCACCTTGTATGGTCTATCCCGCGTATCGCTTTCCACCTCAGCAAGGAGTTCCCTCCAAGATTGCTTTTTACTGCGCTTGATGGCCTTGCTGAGGTTTCAGCGTACTTCCGTATATCTTGTCTGCAACTTCTCGGAATTCGGCTTCTTGCGGCCACGCTGAGACCGTCTCCGAGCTGCATTACACTCTTTTCGCAGGGTGGCGATGATTTCATTCCACCAGTACACCGGTGGGTGCCGGTTTGTGGCCCGCTTTCTGGTCATGGTTGCATCGCCGCAGGCTTCCGTCAGCCTTCTCATGACATTTTGTGCCTTTTCAGTGGCATTGCTACCACTGATCGGGCGATCGTCTAACGCTGCTGAATAGGAGCTAGAATCAAAAGTGCTCACCCTTCAGCCAATGCCGTTGGTCTTCTTTGGTGTTAGGGCGGTTCTCTGACCAATATTTGCCTGCCACATAATCGCGCGGTGGTCACTTGCAGTCTCAATGTTTGTTACTCTCCATGAGCAGTTCTCCTTTGCNATTTCATTCCACCAGTACACCGGTGGAGGCCGGTTTGTGGCCCGCTTTCTGGTCATGGTTGCATCGCCGCAGGCTTCCGTCAGCCTTCTCATGACATTTTGTGCCTTTTCAGTGGCATTGCTACCACTGATCGGGCGATCGTCTAACGCTGCTGAATAGGAGCTAGAATCAAAAGTGCTCACCCTTCAGCCAATGCCGTTGGTCTTCTTTGGTGTTAGGGCGGTTCTCTGACCAATATTTGCCTGCCACATAATCGCGCGGTGGTCACTTGCAGTCTCAATGTTTGTTACTCTCCATGAGCAGTTCTCCTTTGCAAGAGTGCTGCTCATGAATGTAAGGTCCACAATCAATGTCGCATCTCCTCTCATGAAAGTCGGTTCGTCGCCGCTATTCAGCAAAACCACGTCAAACGCTACCATGGCTTCCAGTACGGCTTGCCCTCTGGGATTCGTCTCTCTACTTCCCCAGTTAACTACCCAGGCGTTGAAATCCCCAGCTATTGCCACGGGAAAGTGCCGCTTCGCATCCTCGGTCAATTCGTCCAGGAAGTCAGTGAATTCGTCCAAGGGGAGGCTCGGTGGGGCATAACAGCTGTAGAAGTAAATTCCGCCAACCCTAGCCTTCACAAACCCGTTATGTACACCCTCGCCGGTGATACTTTGAAATGGCTGATTTCTACAAGCCCAGATTACAGCCTTCTTGCTGGCGTCAGTAATCCAGGATTGGGTGCCAAGATGTCGGTATGGCTCCGAGATCATAATCAGGTCAGGCTTCAGCTCTCGCACCGTTTGCATGAGCAGGTCGTGTGCGGCCTCGCAATGGTTGAGGTTGAGCTGTAGCACCTTCATCGTCGTTTGTTGTTTAATTTCTGTAGCGCCTCCTGATAAACTGGGCACCTGGTACTGCCAACAATATGAGCGCAGTTCTTCGTGTTCCCTTTCTCAGTGCACAGGGCACAATTGGGTTCCTTTTTGCAGGCAGCAACGGTGTGGCCCGGCTCAGCGCATTTGACGCAGATCTTGGACCGATCGACCTCACTCTTGCATTTGGTGGCGAGATGGCCATAGTGCCAGCACTTGAAGCACTTTAATGGCCTTTCCACTCTTCTCACTCGGCAATTCACCCAGCCTATTTTAATCTTCCCGTGTTCCCCCAGGATCTTCTTCGCTGTCGTAGCTGTGAGTCTCACTGAGGCAGTCTGGGTACCTCCATAAGCTTTACGAAGGGACTTGATCGCATCCGCTTGGATCTCGTTTTCCTCTCCAGCTGCTATTTTTAGGGCTTCGATGACCTCCTCCTTTGATGTAGTTTCGTCGAGATCTTTGATCTCGAGGTCTTCTTGTGGCCCCTTTCTGAGCACCTCAACCTCATCTCCAAAGAGATTAACGATGGCCGTACGCAGCTTAGGTGCTTCGTCAGTCGTCTTTCTGCTAAGGATGATCAGCATATCCCCGGTTGCTGTACGGCGGATCTTATCGACACAACCGACAACGCCCTCGGAGGGAACATCCTTCTTCACCCGACGCAGTATATCGGAATACTTCTCCTTGTCCTTGGGGCGTATGATCAGCGCATCAGGTCGCATCAGTGATTTCCGAGTAGCCCTCTCCTGTTTCATTTTTTTCATCTTTTTGGGAGGCAGCTGTGGATGGAGCTGTCCGGCCTGCCTCTTTTTCTCCTTCTTATTCTTCACCTGCGTCCATTCAGGCTTAGCAGGTGGATCTGAAGTTGCCACCATCTGCGGGGCTGCCTAGCTGGTCAGATCCTGTTGCTTCAACTTCTTCAAAGTTTGAGCTTCTGCCGCAGGTGACCCTTTCGAGCGCTTTCTCCGCACTGCCTTGCGGACATCTCGGGCCGACTGCATGGTATTCGGATCCTCCAAATCGGAGTCCTTTGCCGTCGTTTCAGAGTCCGTCCGTAAACGCAACGTGGTGTTCGTGGAGTTTGCACGGATTTGGTGAAGGAGGGTCGGGCTTTGATGCGTGTCTCCTCCAAACTTTTGAGGCGTTTGAATGCGCTGCCGATAGTTGCCACCTTGCATTTGATCTGCGTGCGTGTGTGTGTGTTTGTGTATGTATGTGTGCGTGTGTGTGTGTGTGTTTTTTTTTTTTTTTTTTTTTTAGGTTTAAGGTAATCTTCAAAAGATTCCGTTAAAAGGATGTTAAAAAACGGATCTCAGATTTTTACTGAGTAAAGCCCTCTTTCCTCAATTCCTCTTACCCCATATTCCCCACGGAACGGCCGTCAGGCATTACTTCGCGGGGGGGGACATCAGCTCTTGTTCTTCCTCTACTAACATCCCTAACCGTACGTCCTCCTTCCTCACTTAGGTGTTGGGCATGGGAAGAAGGTTCCGGTAGCTTTTTTTCCTATACAGCGTTCTTTCGACGACGCTCTTCCTCGCGGAGCTCCTTTATGACTTTCGTCGCAAAGTCACTCGTTGCGTCCCAGGCTGTTTTCGATGACAGCATGGCTTCCACCAAGTTCTCGGGCAGGATCGATGCTCCAAGTTCATTCTCCCACTCCAAGCGGCTCGTTCTGAAACGTGGACACATGAAAAATACATGCTCTGCGTCTTCCATGGTACCTAAGCAGGTCGGGCAATCCGGGCAATCTTCATGTTTGAATTTATGAAGGTAGGCCCGGAAGCACCCATGTCCTGAAAGCAACTGTGTCAAATAGTAGTTGGTCTCTCCGTACTCACGATTCACCCAAGCACTCACCTGCGGGATAAGACGATATGTCCATCTACCTTTCAGTGAGGTACTCCATCGTAACTGCCATCGTTCTATGCTCTTTCGTCTGGCCTCAGCCTGAATCTCGGTTGGACTTAATGACGTCTCTCCTTTTTGCTGGAATAGGGATCTTCGTTCCTCGGCTAGCACTTCAATTGGCATCATTCCGGCTATAACACACACGGCATCGTTGGACACGGTGCGAAATGCGCTGGCGACTCTAAGGGCACTAAGTCGGTAGACAGGCCCCACTTTGCGCTGATTCTGCTGTAATTGAAGGGCCTCCGCCCATACAGCAATGCCGTGGGTGAGTACTGACGTAATCACCGATGACAGTAATGCTCGTCTCCTCTGCTTGGGACCTCCAATGTTGAGCATGAGGCGAGACAAAACTGCTCGAACCCCTGATGCCTTAGTTGTGATGTGTTCCACTTACTGCTTAAAACTGAGTCGGGCATCAATCATCACTCCCAAGTATCGAATATACGGCTGGGATGTGAGCTCATAATCCCCGACTTGCAGCGTGATTGTCTCCAACACCTTTCTGCTTGTGATCAACACAGCCTCCGTTTTATGCTCGGCCAGGCTCAGGCCGACGGAGTCCATCCAACGGCGAGTCACCTCGAAAGTCCTTCCGAAGGTGAGCTTCATGTCTTCCAGGTATTTTCCTACAATCACTACGGCCACATCATCTGCAAAAGCCACGAGCCGCACACCGCGTGGCAGTGTCAGCTTCAGCAGTCCGTCGTACATGATGTTCCACAANTGAGTCACCTCGAAAGTCCTTTCAAAGGTGAGCTTCATGTCTTCCAGGTATTTTCCTACAATCACTACGGCCACATCATCTGCAAAAGCCATGAGCCGCACACCGCGTGGCAGTGTCAGCTTCAGCAGTCCGTCGTACATGATGTTCCACAAAAGAGGACCCAGCACCGAGCCCTGAGGTACCCCTCCAGTGACTCTGTACTCTTTGGGGCCACTCTCCGTGTCGTACTTGAGGACCCTCTCGGTGAAGTAGTCGTCCACCATCCTCCGCAGATATTCAGGTACACCAAATCTCTCAAGGGCCGCCATGATGCAGTCCCATCGGGCTGAGTTGAAGGCGTTCCTGATGTCCAGTGTTGCCACCAGGCAGTACTTCTTTGTGCCTCCAAGCCATCTCTCCCCTGAAATCGCCTCCCTAGCTGTATCGACAACTAGATTGATCGCTTCAAGGGTTGAACGGCCTCTCCGGAAGCCGAACTGGTCGTTGGACAGCATTGGTTCGACAGCTGCTTCTATTCTTCTGTGGACGATGCGTTCAAGGATCTTACCAGCTGTATCGAGCATGCAGAGAGGACGGTAGGATGAAGTTTCGTCCGGTGGTTTTTTCCCTTTCGGGAGAAACACTAGCCTCTGCTGTTTCCACTTTGCAGGGAAGATGCCCTCGCTGAGACACTCGTTGAAAACGTCCAAGAAGAGGCCTGGCAACGCATGGATAGCGGCTTTCAGTGCGATGTTTGGGATCCCGTCAAGACCCGGGGCCTTGACATTCCCGAATCTGTCGCACGCCTCCATCAGCTCTTCCTCGGTGATCGATGGGACCATCAAAGTCTTTCCTCGTGTATTGGCACGCTGAAATTCCGGTTGTCGCGGGAAAAGCACCGCTACAATCTCCTTCAAGAGCTCGGGACAGGTCGGCGATGGCATAGGCCTGCTTTTCAGCCGCGTCATAACCGCCTTGTACGGTCTTCCCCACGGGTCACTCTCGACTTCGTCAAGGAGTCCAGTCCAACTTTTCTTTTTGCTCTCCTTGATAGCTTTGTTGAGCTTTCGGCGAGCATCCTTCCATTTCTTCTCCAGTTCTTCGGAGTTCAGCTTTTTCCGACCACGCTGAGCCGACCTTCTAGCCTTAACGCACTCCTCTCGAAGAGCTCCAATATGATCATTCACCAGTGCACTGGTGGCAGACGGCCTCCACTGCGTTTTCGAGGCATTGAGGCATCACAAGCCTCGCTAACTCTTCTTATGAGATCCTCGGCTTTCTCCGTAGCACTGCTGCCCCGTATGGGGTAATCATCCAGTGCCACTGAGAATGTGCTAGGATCGAAGGTGCTCACCTTCCAGCCGATTTCGTTTGTCTTCCTAGGCATTGGTCTGTTTTTTCGACCAACGGACACCTCCCAAAAGATTGCTCGATGATCACTAGCGGTGTAGATATCCATCACCTTCCAGGAGTAGTTTTTCCTTGCGAGATTACTACTGACGAAGGTGAGGTCTGCTATTGAGCTCCTGTCTCCTCTTTCGAACGTGGGTCCATCACCGTTGTTCAACAGGACAATGTCCAGCGAAGACATGGCCTCCAGTAGTGCTTGCCCCCTTGCTTTTGTCTCGTTGCTACCCCAGTCGACTGCCCAAGCGTTGAAGTCCCCCGCGATTGCAATAGGGAAGTGCTGCTTCGCGTCCTCAGTTAGTCTATGCAGGAAGTCCGTGAATTCGTCAAGGGTGAGGCTTGGTGGAGCATAACAGCTGCAGAAATAAATTCCATCCAGCTTAGCTACCACAAAGCCAGCTTCATCAGTAGTCGCAATGCTTTGAAACGGAAACTTCCCACAAGACCAGATTACGGCCTTGCGACTCTTATCCGTCTCCCAGGGCTGATTGCTCAAATGTCTGTATGGCTCCGAGACGATCACCAGATCGAACTTCAGCTCCCGCACCGTCTGCATGAGCAGATCGTGTGCGGCCTCGCAGTGGTTGAGGTTTAGCTGTAGTATCCGCATTACTGTTTCTTATTCACCTTCTGATGTGCCTCCCTGAAGACAGGGATCTGCTGCTACCAGCAATATGGGCACAGTCCTCCGATGGATCTCTCTCAGTGCATAAGGCACAAAGGGCTGCTTTTTCACAGCCAGCAGCTTTGTGTCCATCTTCCCCACATTTTGTACAGAGCTTCGCTCTGTCCACTTGACTCCTACATTTGATGGCGAGATGCCCATAGTGCCAGCACTTGAAGCACTTGATCACTCTCTCCACCCGTCTGATCCGGCAGTTCACCCATCCTATACGGATCTTGCCTCGATCGCCTAGGATTTTCTTCACGACGGCTGCGGCCAGTGTCACTGAAGCAGTCTGGGTACCTCCGTAGGCCTTGCGCAAAGACCTGATGGCATCCGGGGAAATTTGACAATCTACCCCGGCTGTGAGTCTCAGGGCTTCAAGCACCTCTTCCTTCGTCGTCAGTTCGTCGTGATCCTTAATCTCAAGTTCCTCCTGTGGTCCTTTACTGAGGACATCAGCCTCGTCTCCAAGGAGCTCGGCTGTCGCCTTGTGGAGGCTATCAGATTCGTTCTCCTTATCCTTTGAGAGGATGATCAGTATATCTCCTGTGGTCGTTCTGCGGATTTTGTCAACGCAGTCACGAGCCTGTTCGGAAGGTATCTGCTGCTTCACTCGTTTGAGTACCTCCGAGTACTGCTGCTTGTCCTTCATGCGTACGATCAGCGCATTTGGCCTTGTTACCAGTACCCTCTGTTTCTTCTTTTTCACCTCCTTCTTCTGAGGCTTTTCTGGCGGCTGCAGCTGCCTCTTCTTTTTGGTCTTGACCTGCTCCCAGTTCAAAGACTTTGCAGGTAGATCCTCCTTTTTGCTCTGGGCATGAGCGACCTTCACCTCATCTTTCTTCTTCTTCTTGGGGTCCTTGGTGTCCGTCGGTGGTGATTCTCGGGACTTCCTCTTCATCCTGGAAGCCTTGCTGTTGTCAGAGAGAGCTAAGCTCTCATCCTCAAACTCCGAGTCCATCGAGGTCGCGGTGCCTTCAGAGAGCGTCCGCGTTCGACCTAAAAGCAAAGATGCTGGTGTGACTAGCATTGGTCCGGTCTGCCCTGCCTGTCCGCCCAGTCGCCTCAGCCGTTTAGCTGAGGTGCTGATAGAGTTCACCAACTCTCGGGCGTGAGCGTTGATGCTCCTCTTCTCCTTCATATAGCTCACTAGGTCAGCAATAAGCTGTTCATGCCTGTTCCACATATTCTCCTTCATGGTAGCTGCGTCACTTAGCTCCAATTCCTGGACCAAGTTGTCCTGCTTCACGTCTTCATTTTTTTTGTTTTTATTGAGATCCATCTTGTTCCCACGAGAACCTAGGGAAATAATGGACCACCTCAGTAGAGCCCCGGTTACTGAAGCTAGGCCACAGAATACACCTGGGGTTGGACCCGGTGCCCCAGGGACCACCGTTTGCGACGCCAACTACCCCTGGCGCCTTGCAGAAATCAGCACGGTGAACACCTTGACATTGGGGGTTCTGAACTGCTTCTCAGTTCGGGACAAGTCCCGTTAAGCTCCTCCACCAGCGACAAGGTCTTGCAGTTCCTAGGAGGAGTGTGTGTGTGTGTGTGTGTGTGTGAAAAAAACGAAAACAAAACGAACGAAAACCGAACAAAAAATACATGCGTTTTCCGTAAGAGGGGGGTTCAAAAACGAACAGAAAACGACGAAAACCGAAAAAAAATCAACAAAAATTAAACGAAACATAAGAAACGCGGAAAAACGAACACGAAAAAATTCATGAAAAACGAACACTCGAGAACACGGACATAAATCGATGAAAAACGCGAGCACTAAAATAACGCGGACACGGAAAACGTGAGACGAAAATCGAAAAAAATAAACGAAAACCGAACACTAAAAAAAATCACTAAAAACACGTTACACTAAAACACGGAAAAACGAAAAAAACACTGAAAATATAAATAAATAAATAAAAACTTACCATACGGGTAATTACCACCCTGCAGACATCCTCCTGGGCGATCACTGGAACCACCATTTTTGTAATAAAAAAACACAAAAAAAACGAAAAAACACAAAAACACAAAATAATCCTGAGGACCGAAGGTGAGGTTGTATATGATGGTTCGAGAGACCTCGCAGCTTATATAGCTGCAGAAGTCCTCCCACCATCTACCCCCTGAAACCCTTTGGACAATGAGGAGGAAAAAGACGTTCAAGAGAAGAAAACGGGTAAAAAACAAGGAAAGATTGAAAATTCCCCTCAATCCCTCTGGACAGTGAGGAGGAAAAAGACGTTCAAGGGCAGGAAACAGGAACAAGATGAGGAAGAAGAGAGTGAAACTTCTCCTGACTTCCAGGGGCAGGAAAACGGCAAGGCGTAGGAGAGGGAATATTGAAGGTTACGTTAAATGAAAGCTGAAACGCATTTTTAATGCTGAAATGTATTTACCGTTTATTCAATGTTTCAAAAAAAGGTTACAGAATGATGCATAATTATCAAAAATATGAATAAATTTTCAGTCAAAGAACATACTCGGGGACAACAGATCAAAATCGAGAGGCTGACGGGCCAATCGGTCCTGATTGTCGGTCTGCTTCAATTCCTT